ATTGTTTTGTTATTTCCAAGACTTGGTCCATGGTCTTGCATGAGTGTATTTCCAAGACACTTGTGTATTTCCAAGGCACCTCTCTCTCTCTTTCCCTTCTACTATATAATCTCCCTCTACCTCTCATTTGTAACTCATCTAATCTTTTATCAAAAACTCTTTCTAAGTTAGATCACTCTCTCTTGTTCTTTCTTTGGTGTGTAATATCCATAGGCAAGTCCAAGTTCGGTAAATCAAAGGCTCTTCCGCAACCTTTGTGCGACCATTCGCTCCACATCCTTTGATCTAAGAGATCCCCCGATCCCTTAGGTGCAAAGCCCATCATTCCCTCAACTTCAAGAGTGTCGATTCTAGGAGAAACATATTAGTTGAGGTAATTGAGGAGGTGCTGGTTGCCCTTTGATCTGGTGTGCATGCAAGGTTTCTCGATCAGAAACACGTGGTAGACTCGATCGGATCTGCAGGTGGCTCGGTCTAGTGCATAGTGTAGCTCGATCGTGCAGAGTGTAGCTCTGTGAGACCCCGGTTGCGGAGAGGTTTAAATGAATTGATTTGGCCACCTATGTCACCAAAGTGCACTTATCTTTTTGGTCAAAGGTCCTGAGAGAACTCCACAGTTAAGCGTGCTTATGCTGGAGTAGTCAAAGGATGGGTGACCTTCCGGGAAGTGGTTGTCGGAACTGTGTGAGTGAGGCCAAAACACAGGAAAAGATCATGTGGTGATTTATAGGGTCGGTAAACAAGTCTTTAAGCCTCCCGGACGTAGCTAACCTACCGTCGGGTATTAATGGGCTCAGGGGCCTAGTGAGAGGACGTGAGACCGATTAAGAGAGGTGGGCCCATGGGCTGGTGGTGAACATGGGGCCCACTAGAGAGATGGCGGTCGGGGCGTTACAAGTGGTATCAGAGCCGAACCCAAACAAGTGTGGAGTGGTGGGCTCACACTTTGAGGGGGTGACGATCGTTGTGCGCAACGAGGACGTTGCAGTTTGTTAGTGGGGGAGAATTGTGAGACCCCGGTTGCGGAGAGGTTTAAATGAATTGATTTGGCCACCTATGTCACCAAAGTGCACTTATCTTTTTGGTCAAAGGTCCTGAGAGAACTCCACAGTTAAGCGTGCTTATGCTGGAGTAGTCAAAGGATGGGCGACCTTCCGGGAAGTGGTTGTCGGAACTGTGTGAGTGAGTCCAAAACACAGGGAAAGATCATGTGGTTATTTATAGGGTCGGTAAACAAGTCTTTAAGCCTCCCGGACGTAGCTAACCGACCGTCGGGTATTAATGGGCTCATGGGCCTAGTGAGAGGACGTGAGACCCATTAAGAGAGGTGGGCCCATGGGCTGGTGGTGAACATGGGGCCCACTAGAGAGATGGCGGTCGGGGCGTTACAAATGGTATCAGAGCCGAACCCAGACAAGTGTGGAGTGGTGGGCTCACACTTTGAGGGGGTGACGATCGTTGTGCGCAACGAGGACGTTGCAGTTTGTTAGTGGGGGATTATTGTGAGACCCCGGTTGCGGAGAGGTTTAAATGAATTGATTTGGCCACCTATGTCACCAAAGTACACTTATCTTTTTGGTCAAAGGTCCTGAGAGAACTCCACAGTTAAGCGTGCTTATGCTGGAGTAGTCAAAGGATGGGTGACCTTCCGGGAAGTGGTTGTCGGAACTGTGTGAGTGAGGCCAAAACACAGGGAAAGATCATGTGGTGATTTGTAGGGTCGGTAAACAAGTCTTTAAACCTCCTGGACGTAGCTAACCGACCGTCGGATATTAATGGGCTCATGGGCCTAGTGAGAGGACGTGAGGCCCATTAAGAGAGGTGGGCCCATGGGCTGGTGGTGAACATGGGGCCCACTAGAGAGATGGCGGTCGGGGCGTTACAAGCTTGGTCGAGTGCAGAGTGTAGCTCGGTCGAGTGTACCTGAAATGCAAGACAAACAAGTAGCAAAGGTAGAAATCAGAAAGCAAATATAAACGAAAGTAAAAGAACTTGATCTAGATAGAACTGGGATCCTAAATGGAACAAATAACATCCAAATGGCAGCGGCGCCAAATTGAAACAGGTATTTTGTACCCTTGGAGTTCAATTCCACTTTGCGATGTAGCATAAGAGGTATCGATCCAGATGGATGTATTGTAAACAATTAAGATATAATATATCTAATCAAGTCAAGCCAAGTAATTCAAGGGTTGGTTTAATAAACTCTAATGCAATAAAGTAAACTTAAAGAAGCAATAATGAAAGCAGTAAGTAAAAGCAGATAATCAATCATACAAACAAAGGGTCTTAAGGATGGGCTAATGGGGTGATGAATCCTCTTAGTATCTTTGGGATGCTTAACATGCTCAGATAGATCTAATCCTAGACAATGAACCACTTAACCTAATCAGTCCAATCTCTTGGCATAGATTATCAGATCTATAGCACTTCCTAATCTCAACTTTCATTGATGAAACATACTATAAATAGGCATAAAGAACAAGCTCATTAATGTCAATCTACTCCTTAACAACCAATCTCTTGGGTAAGTAAATAGATCTCTGGCATTAGTTGGTCAAACATTCCATTTGAACACTTTTTGAGTGATGGAATGTCTAAGATCTAATCCCACATGGTTAATGCTAAGATAGCATTAAGATCTCCTAATCCAGAAGGTATCTACCTAAATCTATACTAAAGCAACCCTAGAAACTAAGATTCCTCATCACCTAACCCATCCTATAAACCCTAGAAAGACTACTCAGATCTGGAGTTCATCATGAAGAACACAAACCCAGAAATCTTTGAATCTTGCATAACTAGATAGATAATGATCTAAGGAGCAAGATATTGTAAAGAAACAACTCCAAATTCTCAATAGATCAAAAGATATAAAGATTACAAGTTTCTGGAAATGTTTGGTGGCTACAGAGAAAAACCCTAATGAAAACTCGTTTTTAGCTTAATGACCCAAGGGGTCTATTTATACTAAGGGCAGGAAGCCCTAAACACACAAAAAGACAAATTACAAAGTCGGTTTATAGAGAGCTCGGTCAGGTGCTTGTTGGGCTCGTTCGGGTCCTCTCTTGGCTCGTCCGTGTTCAGCTTCCTCTTGTGAGTCTGTGTGCTCGATCGTGCTCGCTTGGTCGGGCTGCACATACTCGATCGGGTCCATGCGTTGCAGTGTCCGAGTGTACCTGGTTTTGCTCTAAAATGCAGATGATATGCAAATCCCTAAGCTAAAGATCCTAGATGCGAAATATAATGCAAAGGGACTAGAAACCCTAAGAAGTAGAGACCTAGTTATGCAAATAATGCACAAAACATATGCTTTAGAGTATAAAAATATAGGGTTATCACCGAGAACCCTCACCGGTCTCCCCTCTAGATAAATCCCGGTTTGCAGAGAGGTTTATATGAATCGATTTGGCTGCCTATGTCACCAAAGTGCACTTAACTTTTCGGTCAAGGGTCCTGAGAGAACTCCACAGTTAAGCGTGGTTATACTAGAGTATCTTGAGGATGGGTGACCTTCCAGGAAGTGGTTGCCGAAACTGTGCGACTGAGGTCAAAACATATGGAAAGATCATGTGGTGATTTGTAGGGTCGGTAAACAAATCTTTACGCCTCATGGACGTAGCAAACCGCCCGTCGGAAATGGATTGGGCTCACGGGCCTAGTGGGAGAATGATTACTTGAGTATTTAACCCGATAGCTTAACCGAAAGATAGTATATGCGGGGTCGATCACAAGGAGCAAGGTTTCACCAAAGACTTTGTAGACTCGTTCTTAGCTAAAGCAAACAAGATTGTTTATTTTGTTCTAAGGATTCTAAATAAAAATGCAAATAAAAAAGATTTAAACTTATGAATTAAAGCATTGGGCCGCAGAGTATTTTAAAGAATCAATGATTAACGAATAAAAGCAATAAAGAATTCAGACATGAAGAACTGTTCTTAAACATGAACAGAAATTCAGATCAATTCTCTATTAAGACATTAATCACTAAATTCAACTATTCAATTACTAAACTCTCATTTGTAACTTTCTAGTCAAATTTGCATTATTAAACATGTTCATTTAGTTCACAAGACATTCTAACATCAACTCTCGCAGGTTAATAAATACATTGCTCAATTTACTTTCATTCAGGCATATTAACGAACATCTCTAAAGCATATAAAAACCTAATTTCTAAAACAGGCTGATCAATCCTATTCAAGCATTGAAAAATATGTAAATTGAAGAACCCAAATAATAAGAATCCATTTAAGCAATCAATCCAGTGTATCATTGAATCTTCTACGTAGAACCCTAAAACCCAATTGAAGAAACTACTCACACATAGCAAATAAAACACAGCAAATCATAAATAAAGAAAACATGATGAAATTTCATAAACAGTATGAAAGGTTCTCCAATTGTCAAAACGATGGGTTCTTCTCCCCAAAATTGTTAAGAAAGTAAAGAAAAATGTTTATAAATTAGAAATATGAACGATATGAAAGATGGATAGTAAAAAGTAAAGCCTAGGGTATAAAAACAATAGGAGACAAGTCAAGTCGGTTATGGAGTGTTAGGGTCAGATCTGGGCCAAAAACTACGTCTACGATGTGGACCGATCGATCCAAGTGGTGGACAGATCGGTCTGACCCTATCTGATGAAATCATGGCCAGTTCACTTGAACCACACAAAGACAAGGAGCTACTTGAAGCCGAGAACACACGGCCACGAACCACCGGCAACGAAGAACAGCTTGTACCGGAGGAAGCATTGATCGTCACGGTGGGTCCTCTAACAAGATCAAGAGCCAAGATGTTCAACCAAGCCATCAATGGATTACTCAAGGAGATAAACAAGATTCAAGAAGATGTTGCTCCATCCTCCTTAATAGTTATCACGGCTCAAGTGGTTCGGTAAAGGGTTAAGTGTTGCTTATGCACTCTTTTTTCCTTGTCAAGTTTTGTCCCAATGGGTTTTCTTGACAAGGTTTTTAATGAGGCCTAATTTACACTTTCAAGCCTCTCTTTACCAGCCCAATTTGTGGTCGAACATGGGGCCCACTTCATTCCGCTGCATCCACTCCATCTCGTCATCACCCTCATTCATCGCATTTATTACTTGTTGTTATTTCCAAGACTCTTGCATGAGCTTGCATGAGTGTAATTTACAAGACACTTGTGCATGCTCTTGCATGTTTTCTCTTCTCTTATCTCCTCTCCTTCGTCCTCCCTTCTCTATATAAACTCCATGTATCTCTCATTTGCAAGACATCAAACATTTTATTCTAAAACTCTCTCTTTACTTGTTTGATCCGAAAAGTGTGTAATATCTTTTCAACTTGTTTTCTTCTTAGTGTGTGAGGCCTAATTTACACTTTCAAGCCTCTCTTTACCAGCCCAATTTGTGGTCGAACATGGGGCCCACTTCATTCCGCTGCATCCACTCCATCTCGTCATCACCCTCATTCATCGTCATTCCGCTGTTTTGTTCAAGGTCTATCCATCATTCACCATCAATCTCGCCACTTCCAATTCAAAACTAGCAAAGTGGTCCTTGGAGTATAGATTCACGGCAAGGAGTCTATCACTCTCTATATCCAAACTCTGCAACTGCTTCAATTGCTCGCCAGAATGACATGTCTTCACAAAATTGGGTGTAACTCTTAAATGCACCGTTAGATTTCCTTGAAATCATTTGCAAATTAAACTTGCATTTGAACCAGAAAAATGTCTTTTATTTTCTAAAATTAATTTCGGAAGTTTTAGAGTCGATTTGCTATTTTTCCAGATCCGTTTAGTTTTGTCTGTTTTTGGACACTTTACTTGTTCAATTTTTGATTTTTCAGGTACAATGGTGACAAGTGAAGAAGAAGAAGAGTCATCTACATCTAGCCTTGAAAGGAGGATTTTGAAATCGGTCACA